CTTTCCGACTCTTTTTTTCTCGTTCCTTTCCATCAAGGTGCAAAAGCTACACTGACAATCAGCCTCCAAACATTCAGGAGTCAAAGCTTCAAAATCTGATTCCGATCTCTTCACAGAATTTGAAACACTTAAGGAATGTCTGAAGTGCAACTCACTGCCTAAACAAACATCACCCCTACACCCAGCACCCTCTAACAGATTAGAGTTTACACTGCAACTCACTTGGGGATCTCGTTTTTGAAGCAAATTGTTTTCTTTTACTCTCACTAAGTTTTGACCATTTCTTTCTCTGTTGTTTGTGCTCCAAAGGTCAACCACAGGAAATCAACAATAGAGGAACCTGAGTTTTTGGCTTTCTTCCCTTCACCCAAACATTTTTCCCCCAAAGGAGTCATTTAAGGTGAATAAATGGCTTCAATCCTTGGCCCCTGTTCGCTCAATTTTTCCTCATTCCTTACTCTCTCTGTATTGCTCTCAGAAGGAGGGCTAAATGTGGCTTGTGTTAACAGTGCGAGAAAACCGCCAAAACAGAAATTCCATGTGGTTTGCACTTAGCATGGCCAATCATATGCACAACTCGGAGTAAATTTCATGGCTTAACTTAAAATATACATGTTGACAACTTCACACAACAAGACTGAACAAAAAAATTTAAAAACTAAAACTATAGAAACTTGTTTTTTTTTTTTTTTGGTTCAGAGAGGAAAGCTAAATTATTCATATGGATGATTGTACAAACTGGGGGGAGGGGGGAGGTTTGATTCCTGTATATTTAATGCACATTTTTTCTACATGTACACAAGTAAATAAATAAAAAAAGGGCGACAAAGCATCTATACTAGTGTTGGCATGATACCAAAATTCAGACTGCGATTCCGATACCAAGTTAAGTATCAGGATACTCGATACAGGTTCTGTACTCAAAACTGAAACAATACTGGCTCTGTACTCGATACCCTAATAAATCAGAAACTGGATGCCCATCAGGGTTGGTCACAGTTTGGGAATGTACTGTTTTATGAACAACTCTGTACAGACTGCTTGGTGGAAATGGGGCTTACGGTGTTTGGTAAGGTTGGAAGTTTTTGTATGAGATCATTCTGATCATTGACGCACCGAAACTTAAAAAAAAAAAAAAAAACATGGCCCAGGTTGAAAAAAATGTAAACTAAACAAAACAAAAGTAGGTAACAGAGACAAAGACAATACCCAAATCTAGCTTTGTATACTTATTCATATTCACAGTTATGTATTGTAGAGAATCATGAACACCTATCCTCATATTAAAACATGTGAATGTCTTTTGACATTAAGTATTTAAGCAGCAGTAGTTTCATGAGAGGTCATATCAGTGTGTTTTCCCTTGAGGGTTTCCCTGTGATGAAATACCAGAGTTCAGCCAACTGAGTGGCACCAAATTAACATCAAAAATTAGCGCAGGATCAGGAAGCTTTCTTAAACGAGGAGACACATGACCCCAGGTGACACTCTCACTGTTAACACTCGGGAGGAAGACTGTGATGCTAAGCTAAGATTTTAATCACGTATGTGCGGGTCTTTTTCGAGGAAGTTGGGACATCAGGGAGTGCGTAATATCCCCAGCCTTATACCTCTCTCTCCCCTTCCAATTTATTACCGTGGCTAGTTGATCTGATGGTGTAATAATATCTCCTGCCTCTGGCTACGGGAAATGGCCCCATGCATTATTCACACATGCTAAGATGCTTATTGATGACTCCTTTATTCATATATTTCCTCAACACCAGGTTCATTTCTCATAATCTTAATCCCCTACTTCTGTATTCTCTATTTTGATGTGAGCCTCGTCTAATGAGCCTCTCTCTCTCTCTCTCTCTCTCTCTCTCTCTCTCTCTCTCTGTTGTTTGATGGGAATTTGGTTCGCGGAATGGCACGAGATAAATTGACGTGAAACTGGGTCTAATGGTACAAATTATATCTGCTTTGTTTGGTGTTGAATCTTATTTTGTCATAGCTGTTTACACTGTGCCATTACGCAAGCCGAAGACAACATAAGTCCTTTGAGAAAACTAGTGTGACATTGCCTTAGAACTGGAGCGTAAGTTTGTCTAATCTAATACATGTACATACTGCTTCCTTTTTATTCATGCAGTTGTTGTAAACGGGGCATATTCTCTTTTAAGTCAGTGCATGGCAGAGTTCAGAGCTGCTGGTAATCAGAGGGTTTTTCTCTCTGAACTCACATTTCCTCTCTGCTTAGAACCATGGACTCTAAAATAGCAAGAGACAACTGCAATGAACTATTTTTCTCACAGGAGAAACCTTTCCGTAGGTCTCGCCATTTTTTCGCCCAACCAGTCTTTTTTTTTTTTTGTGTGCCTCTGTTCACATTCAATTTCCTTCCCCCCCAAATCACATTAAAAAAAGGGCCCTATTTTGTTTGCTGCTCAGTGGAGAGATGTCTGTTTGGTTCATTTACATGAGCTGAAGTTCTCTTGGTTTCTGCCATGCATGCGTGAGCCACCGGACAAGATAATATTAGTACACTGATGTTGTTTGGTTAAGTGGTTAAGTTTCTCCAAATGTAGATCCTCTGGCACAGAATCTTAAGTCGGTTTTTCGTTTTTCATGGACTACCATCCTAACATGTGGGATTTAATAATAAAACAAAAAGAAAAGGTTACTATAGAGGTCAGGAACAGTACGACTAGAAGAGGCTGTATTTTCTGCCCTTACCACCGTGTTCTGGCCAGATACAGTGGGCTGCCATGGCCTTTGCACACACACACACACACACACGCACACACACGCACGCGCACACACACACACACGCACACGCACACGCACACGCACATGCACATGCACACACACACGCACACACACTGCCCAAAATATCAGCTTTGGGTTGAAAAAGTAGTTCACCACAGAACTGACCCAAATAGCAGGAGAAAGTATGACACATAAGTTATCAATGTTTGACTGAAAGAGTATTTTTACTTTATTTTGTATTCCTTCCCCTCTTACTCTCCTTCCCTTTTCCTCGCACGTTCCTCCTTTTTTGGCTGATTTTTAGCCAAGCTACCTCTATTTCTCCACTTTTGGTGATTGCACATCATAAAATAATCCTTTGATCCTCTTTCAAAGTTAAATATAAAGATGTTGGGATGTCCGCGGCTAGTTTGCGATACAAAGCTCTAAATGTGACTCCTGTCCTCTCTGCTTTAGTTCTGTTTTGATTGGTTATAGCAGTCTTGTGTGCCTGAATTTGTTGCATCCACGACTTCAAGGTTGAACTTCAAGTCTATATGAAATGACATTTTTTGTGAGTGCTGTTTTGGTTAGCTGGCTTTAAAAGTCTTTGTCTTTAGATATTGGTTCTTCCCAATAAACAAACAAGTTCAATAACTAGTGTCAGTCAGGAGGCCCACAGCAGGGCAGAACCAAACATTAACAGTGCTTATTTAATAAGCTCAGAGGTTAGTGAGGCTTATTCATTTCTAAACCTGCATGTCTATGACCGAGGCATGCAGTATGAGTAACAGGGCTACTTGAGGATACAGAAAAGAGGGGTTACACCCCCTAAACACCTTTTACAGTTACTCACCAATGTCTGTCTGGATGATGTCTTTATTTAGAAATCTACCAGTGCTTCACATCAGCATATTTATAAAATCATTACATCTGAGTGTGAGTGAAAGAGAAGTGATGTAACCACAAGTGGGATGGAGTTTTAAGAGCAGTTTTCTGTACACAGTAGGAGTGTTTTTTTCTTCTTTTTTTGAGGGGGGGGGGGGGGCTGCTTTTCTTGAACCACCCATTTGTTCTTTTTTTAATTACTTTATTTATAGCTTTTCTATGCAATAAATCAGACATAGGGGCAGCTGTGGCTCAGCTGTTAGTCGGCTGTCTCTCAAACGAAAGGTTAAGGGATTCAATCCTCATCTCCTACAGCTACATGTCCGACGTGTCATTGGGCAAGACACTGATGGTCACTTTACAGAGCAACCTCTGTCATCAGAGAGTGAATGTGTAGGTGTGACATGCGGTCAAGACTAGAAAACTGCTATACAAGCTCAAGTCCATTTACCATTTCCACACAGGATAGACATGAACACCCAGCAATATTACACAAACTGGCAGGAAGAAAGGCAACATGTCCCAAAAAGAGTCCAGTGCTGCCTGTGGACAGCAAAAAGAATTAGAAAAAAGACTGCCCCTCTTTTAAAAAAGGTCCTGGGTGGAAAACAAACAAACACACATATCGGTAGTTTCTTTTAGTTCTTATCGTTTGATGCTGAAACCATCGAGCAAGCTGGTGTTTTTCTCACCAGGGAGGGGCAGATTGACAACTCAATGATCATTGCCTTGCTGCTCAAACACTCACTTTTCCTTTAAAAGCCGGTACCCAAAAAGAAGTTACAGTGTTTTTCCTTAAGAGACCCGTTTGTTGTGGAAAGTCCTGAGACAGTTGTCATTCGCTAAGTGTTATTGTGAGTAAGAATTATGGAAGTGTTAACGCTGCCGTGGAGTCATTTTTCACTCATATACTTTGTTACGTTTCTTTTAAGCGTAAGTCTGTATTTAAGATTTTAAAGTTTGACCTGTGAAAGTTGCTACAGTGATTCTGAAGTCAGAGTCAGTAAATTTGTTATGTAAATTGGCAGTCTTGAAGGTGACGAGTCATTCTCACTTACTTTTTTTTTCTGTCCCTTGATCTCTCTTTCTTCTCCAGTGTCTGTCTTTGAATTAAATTGTCTGCGCCTGAATGCTTGAGCTTTACTGTTCGCGATATGGTGTTTGATTTGATTTTCCAGTTGAGAGCCTGGCAGTGCAGTCTCTGTGAGGGCGACCGAGAGAGAGAGGATGTGCGAGAGAATGACTGGAAAGGTGTCAGAATGAATGCAGATATGCGCCTTATGTTTTTAAGTTGTGTGTGTGTGTGTGTGTGTGTGTGTCTGTCTGTCTATCTGTAAGTGTGTTAATCCCTGCTCCACTGACACTCTTCCCTCCTTTCTCCACAGAGAGAAGTGCCTTCTTTCGTCGACCCTGATGGCTGTTTGGCTCGACTGAAGCCGCCTCTGTGCCTGTCCATGTCTGCTGGAGTTTCCAGCTATACCAGGAGCCGCAGGACTGCCAACACCACCCGCTGAGCCAGTCTCCACAACACTGACACCTCCCTGCTCTGCCCCATCTCTTGCTCTGTCTGCCATCCATACCACTCAGTCCTTCTCTGCGGATGTCAACAGATCCTTGGCCCTTCTCTAGCTGACGACAGAAAACTTTTATCGCCTCCTTTAAGCGAAAGCCTCCTCTCTGTGCTCTCCACCACAGCCTTCTCCGCCCTCTCTTTTTACTCCTTCTTCTCCTCTCTCCTGCATCTTTTCATCATGGGCCAAACCTGATCAATAATGCGTTGTGCCATTCGTCTCGTCTGACAGTTCAGCCGAGGATTGAGGCAATAGAGAGAACCAGTGTGAGAGCGTACTTGAGTGAAAAACGACAGAGAGGAAGAGAGATTACGAAGCCAAACCTCTGTGGCCGTCCCCAGCCCCGGCCCTGGGTGACAGACGTTGAAGGATTCCTGTCATAGCCACAAACAGACTCTTAGGATGGGCTGCGGGTGGTAGGCCTCCTAGCCTCCTAGCCTTCACCTCAGATTCATGCCCTAGGGGGAAAAAAAACCTCTTAAAACCAACTTTCTCCCATGTCCTTTCCCTGTTCTTCCTCCTCATCTGTCTTAGTGCCATTAGCATCACACAGACTCACACATAATCGCATTTCCTGGATACCTGTTCCTCCTTCGCATCGACCCCTCCTGCCTGGTCCGAAATGGCGGTGAATGTGACACCGATGCGGGACACAAAGTGGCTGACGCTGGAGGTTTGTCGGGAATTCCAGAGAGGGACGTGTTCCCGGCCGGACAGCGAGTGCAAGTTCGCCCACCCTGCCAAGAGCTGTCAAGTGGAAAACGGCCGAGTCATTGCCTGTTTTGACTCACTCAAGGTGAGTATGACACCTGTGATAGTTATTTATCACGGCTTTGTCTTTTGTTTTTCTAGCTTGCAGTGTTTAGGAGCATTGTCTCAAGTTGTTTTCAGATACTTTTAGGGATTAAAGGGAAGCCAGAACATGTTAGATCCAAAACACAAAAGGTCTACTGTGTGTTATGGTGCGTTTTTGTATTAGGAGTACACTGCAAGGAAACAGCTGTTACTTGAAACATAGGATCAGGCCACTTGAAGGGGACAAATAAATATCCTTATAAATACTTTTTAGGGTGTTCTGGGTAAGCTGAGATGAGGCCATGATCGCATTAACATCTGCAAATCAGACTCAGAGTTTCCTTCTCTCGCACACAACTTTGGAGCGGAGTGACTGTTGGCGCATTGCGAAAGTTTCTGAGTGATCGTCACATCAACAGGCTAAAATGGAAATGTATAGAAGTAGGTCAGCAAACTGTGTATTTCATGTTTGTATGTTAGGTTTGTCAGTGTATGTCTGTGTGTGTTATTTTGAGGTCATGCTGCTCAGCGGGGTGCTCTCGGAAGGCTCTGTAATTTACTGTCTATTTTTGCCCTGGCTCTGGGACAACACACTCCCACTATGCAGCTCCTCTCTCTCTCTCTCTCTCTCTCTCTCTCTCTCTCTCTCTCGCTCTCTCTCTCGCTCTCTCTCTCTCGCTTTCTCTCAGAGACTAGTGGGGAGATCAAAGAGTAGGGACTTGGTTGAGAAGTTTTGACGGAGTAAAAATATGGTGGTTTCCTTTCAGAACGCTGCATTTCAATGTGGAAAGAAATGTTAACCTGATACTCATAAGCATGTCTGATTAGATTTTCTATATTGTCAATAGACTGTGACTGAAGCGCTTGAGTTACGTTAAAGGGAAAGCTTTTATTATAACTCAGAGTGAGTTTGCTTCTTGTGTTGCCAGTCGTTTTGTCATGGTATATCTTGACTCCTACAAATTCAGTTGTAGAAGAATGTCGGCTGATCCTGGACTGGACTTGCCAAAGATCAAAATCTTGGCAGTAATTTGTTCCTACAAAATGCATTGAGTGAACACAGATGTGGTTGGAAGATAGTTGTGGTTTGATGACAAGCACTGAAAGAGAAGAGACTTCGGCAGTAGAGACTTTGGATAGAGCCCTGAGTCCCACTTGTGGTTAGTCTAAAGTGACAGAAACTCTGCAATTAGAAAGATTTGGGGTTTGTGGTTCCCATTTGAACAACCTGATGAGTCTTACTCTTGATTTTGTGCGTTAACTTGCATAAAGTTGCTAAAATACAGGTTGATCTGAATGTTTCGCATGCATTTGGTCAAATACAAATTTTTACTTGACAATGGTCAAAGATGAAAAGTCATTTGATCACCAATGCGTGTGCCAAACTTTGTTTCATACATTCAAAAGTCATCGAGAAATTCTTGTGCTGATTCTAGAAGAAATGTTCGGGAAACAAATAAGTACTTTTCTTTCTCTGGCAACCTTTAACATTTTTTAAATCCAAACAATAACATCATATTAAAGTCAGGAACATAAATGTGAACTGACCAATCAACAGATGGACCAACAGTCCCATACCTGGGCTGCTAGCATGACAAGAAAAGAATCATCCTGAAACATACTCCCTTTCAGCGTCAACCTATCAAATATAAACTCTAAGAAATCCAGGTATTTTACCATGATTTAGTTGGTATTTGCAGATATTTGTATTTAAAATAACTCATTTAATAGCAAGTTCTTAGATGCAAAGATGGGGGACCAACTCAATTAAAGAAAGAACCGCCTAAAAAAAGGATAAGACAATTAGAATTGGCTACTAGCAAAACATATCTCTTCATTCATAGATATACTGCATAGTGCACAGATGACACTCGTTGACCCTGTTCAATGTGAAAATATACACTCATACTAGTATTTACCTACCACAGAGAGAGTGTTTAAAGGGTCAGCTGTGCCACCATGTGTCATGGCTGAGAGCCAAGTATTAACACTGGCCTTCTGTAATGTACTGTAGTAAATCATATAGGACTTCAAGTACAATGTGCATTCGTAAGCAGAGTGCAAATGGACACACATGTCACACTAACTCAAACGGTTGTGTTTTGAGCTTTCTGTTTTTTCCGGTTGCAGCAGATGGCTGTTCATTAATCAGTCTGGTTCTGTTGAAGGTTTCTGCCTGTTAACGGGAAGTTGTTTTCTTGTCACTGTTGCCATGCGTGAATGCCCATCTGAGAATTAAATAATAAAGAGGATGGTATAGACCTACTCTAAATCTTGTGTCAACGGATCATTTTTGTTTTGGTCTGTGGCTGTGTAAATACAAAGTGTCTGAGTGATTGATTTCTCAATTCCAGAGGGAAAAAGAGCAATAAATGCATCAGTAAAGACAACCTGTGTATTTTGGCTCAAGTGAGCACAGTGACTCTGGATCATAGAGCTTCTGTCTACTGTGTTGTGCACTTGCCTTCTAATTTGTTTCGTATCTGATTGGCACACGGGGTGTTATTCACTCAAACAGGAGACCAGAGCTGGAACTCAGTCAAGGAAGTCCAAGCCAAAGCCTACCTTGTTTATAACTTTGCAGGGGGGGCAGTGGTATCCGTGTTATTACATTTCTTGGACTGCTTGGTTGGAGCTTAGATGGCTTGGGTGAGTTTGGTTGGTACAGGTAAGACGGGGATGGATAGAGGGGGCTGTCGGGGCATTGCATGGATCATGAAAACAGACAGGGAGACAGAGTCGGAGAGAGGGCTCAGCAGGGAACGTGTGAGGAAGCGTAGCGCTGCGCTCCGTGCCAGGGCATTCCACAGTCTGCCTCCCTTCCCTGCCTCTGTGACAGAATGATAGATCAGCTTCATCTGCGGATGAATTCATAACACATAGTGAGGCATGGAGAGAGGGGAAAGGGGATTGTAAAGGAGTGGATGGTGGGACACTTTGCAATGGACAATTTGGTATACCACCAACCCTTTATTCTTTATGAAATGCTGTCTGGCAAAGGAAGGGGAACTATAATCAAACAGTCTATCTAAAGTTAAAGAATACATTTATATTCTGTCTTTTTTTTAGTCTTAACTGCTTCCTGTGAGTTGCAAGGCTTGCTAGTTGGAAACTTCATTCAGTCTTTCAGTGTTATCTCAAAAGCAGGTGTTTATCAGCCAGGAATGAGGTGGAAAGTTATATTTGATCATGGGCTGCGTAACAGGGAATGACGTGATAGAGACAAACAGGAAATGAGTCAGAGGCAAAGACTCGATATTAGAGAGAGAGACTGACCCTCTCTGTCTGGAATGACATGATTATGTGCGACACAGCAAATGATGTTGTTTTGGTTTAGTTCTCATATATTTAATTCTTATAGCTTAACCCCTTCAACACGACAGTGTTAGATGTCTAGTTTATTCAGTGCTTCTTAAAACAACAGCAAATGTCTTTAAATGCTCTTTTATTTTTTTCTTGATAACTTATTATTTGTTGTCCGGACAAAAATCCAAAGCAGAATTCAGTTTATGTCATTTGTGGTCAAACCGAAGCCAGAAAGGTCAGACACTCTCATACAATACGACTAAATGGTAACATAACGTCTGTTTTTGAGGAAACACACAAACAATCAATGTTGGAATTTTTGTTGAACTGTCTGTGATCAGAGGGAAAACAATGAAAGAAAACTTGGATATTGCTTGTCCTTTTTGGCTCCTGCTTCAGGGATTCAGCAGCTTGATACTATTAGCAGCTGGACACAAATCCAGCTTCATTGTAAGAGAATGAAAAGCAAATCCGGGTATTTAGGCTGATGAAAAAAATACAATAAACTCCTGTTGTTGGGCATTGATGGGAAACATGTGAGAGTGAAAGAGAGACCCAGGAATAGGACTACAGTATGATGGTCTAGCTACAATACTAAACGTGTGCGGTTGATTGGGGTTATTATTATCCAAGAATTTTCTCCTCACTGAGATCCTCATCCTTCCTGTCGGCATTTGAATAATATTTTTCTGGCAGAAACTTTTGAATCAGACCAGAACAAATAATTAACAGTTTTTTTATGCTAACAAGATTTTGGATATTTGGATCCCTTCAGAGCTATCACACTAGTACACTGTAAGAGAGTACACATAGATACTCATTGTTTAATTCATTTTTGCCTTTAGGGATATTTCAGACTGGAAAATTAAACCAAATCTCCTTCTTTCTCCTCACATTCTTCTTTTGGTGCTGATTATAGTTTAGCCTTAAATAGAAACTGACGATGTTTACATGCAGTCTAACAAGCCCACTCAGGATTTACAAATGTACTTATTTACTCGTTGCAATGAGAAAACAACATTTCTTGAAAAACTTCAAAGTGATCCTGGATATAAATTAGTAGTGATTAGGATCTTCAGGGAAATGTCTTTGACAACCCTACATTAGAAGCCAAGTTTATGGATGGATTTGATCTCTTCTGTCCCTTTGTCTTTTGAAGATGTGAGGTTTCAGAATAAACATTGCACAGACGTGGTTTTGTCTTTGTCTTTTAATTCTTCACATGAATGGGTAGAAATGACAATTTCCAAAATGATACCAGTATTCAACCCCAGGGTCCTTCATCACAAATTGAAGACCATGCTCTGAAGAAAATGTGATTTTAGTAGAATTTTTTGTAAATAGAAATGATTCAAAATAATATGTTAAAAAGTGTCCCAGGCTGAAAACCAAAGTAAACATTGATATAAACAGTCACATTAAACATTTTATATTTAAACTGTTGTTAAAGGTAGAATGTGTGAAATTGCATACATAAATACAGCAGAAATCAGTTATACAGTATTTAAATGTCTCTCTGAGTCATGACTGTCTACAAGTGAGAAGCCCGAGTACCGCTGTTGGAGCCGTACTGTTGTTGGAGCCGTGTTTACATCATGTTTACATGGACGGGACGGCCTTGCGTATAAAGCTGTTTCGGTTAAGGACTACGGAAAAGAAGAATAACATACTAACTGATTTGAATTTCACGCAAGT